TAAGGGAAATTATAAGGGTAAAGCTTTTAGTAGAAAGATAAAGATATAGTATGAGCTCGGGAGTTGATACTGTTAGAAATGATGTCATTCCCGGGATATTGTACAGAAAAAGTTAAGATTATAATTTATGCAGTCTATAAATGTTTTCAAGACTGGAACAGTTTGAAATATTACAGCATTAAGAGCTTAATTCGATCTTGAATTATTCATGGATTAGTATCAGACTATAAATAAACAGCAGAAAAGGAACCGTCAGAAACAAAAATTTCTTATCGGCTAAGCTAATTCCCTACAGTCGATATAAATCTTGACTGCTTTATAGAGAACCTTAAGAGATAAGCTTAAGGAAGTAATGATGAGCTTGTATTTATGAGGGGGACAAATGTTGATCAACCATTGGAGATAAGAAATTTAGAAATCTTCTCTTTATCTTCTCCAATTACGGCCGAACACATAGATGGCCAAATGGCGATTAACAATTGGATGAGTGTAGCCGGCCAATGAGATAAGAGCACATAATGGATAAAATCAAGTTATCTATCATTCTTTGCTTATGTCAGCAAGATGACATCAAGTAAGTAATTAAGAATTTAAGTGAAGTATGATACAGTTACCGATTTTCAGACTGCAATAAGGAAAGAAGTGCAGAATGCTGTGTTGAACCCACAAGTGGGCCAACACATGAATATTAAGGTTAAGAAGTGAAAAAGAATTGAAAAACATCAATTCTAGGGTTTTAGAAATAACCAGAACGAAAAACGGACAAAAAATGGTTCCGAAAGGTCGAACCGAGAAAATTAGGATTTCTGATCGATTAGGGTTGACCAAATTAAAATTTATGGACCAAGAGTCGATCAATAAGTCACTCTTAAAAAGTTAGTTAAGGTTTAGTAAAGTTGACTAACTATCCAGAAAACACAGATAAAACGCATACCGGTTAGAAATTAAACTAAACCGGAAAAGAGATAACCATTAAATATAGATGGTTGAGATTTAAAGTGACTTTATGGATGGAGGGCTGAGATCACGCCATTTGCTTAGTGAGGTGGCTGGCCAAGCTTGCACAAGAAGCCAAGAAGAGATATTTTTAGTAGATTTTTGCAAAAAAGACCATAAAAGCTAGAAAATTGCTATTAGGCCTCTCCTTTCTTCCTCAACGTGTTTTAAGTGTAAAAACACAATAAACACTCTCTTTTTCATGCCAAAAACTAGTGCGTGTTCATCCAAGAGAGGAGAAAAATGATTTACCAAAAGTGAAGAAAATCAAGTTTTAAGCGAAAATCGATCGAACTGTCGAGGATTAGAGACTCCAGAGCTTGTTCTTCATTCTTTTAAGGTGATATTTTAATTTTTCCTATCATTGCCTTACCTTGGCCGAATTCATGGATGTGAAAAAAAGTACGGCAAAAGTTTACTAAGTTAATGATGGAATTTCAATTGATAAAGGAATTGAAAACCTAGTGATTAAAGGTTGAATTTTTGGTTGTTAGATTATGTTTCTAGCAACTTTTAGATATGACAATCCTAATGAGAATTTGGATGAAACCCTAGAGTATGGTTTCTAAGATGATAAGATTATATGAGAAAGATTGTGGGTTATGTCTAAGAGTTGGATTAATGGATAAAACAAGCTAATAATAGCTCGGGAAACACAGAAAAAATCAGGCAAAACTCTGCCGGATTTTAGTTTGAGAATTTGAAGTTAAAACTTAATTTTAGTTCTAAATAAAAGCTTTAAACTAGTTTTTTTTAGAAAACACTGCAAATCTAATAAAATAGTTTCGGTGTTAAACAGAAGAGTTCATTAAGGAACTCGAAGTATAGTCTCAAGAAAGTATTTTGAGTTTAGACCTTGTTTAATGGAAAAATAAGGTTATGAGGATTCAATAAACCTAATCTAAGTTTGAAACAAGGTTTTCAATCCTCTATGGTAGGAAAGAGAAAGAAAGCCATAAGTAGAGAAATCAGATTTTCTTATAAGCTTGCTAAAATAGAATAGCAAGTGATAGTTAATCTTACACTCTTAGTGGGTGTTTATTCTCAGAAATAAGCAAGAAAGAGAACAAACAGTGTGGCGAATCGAGGATTCCACCCCTTAAAACAGATAAGTAAGAATCTTACATGCAATATGAATAGATTTTAAAATAAACAGTACACATGAATTATATATGTTTGAGTATATTTCATGTTATAGTTGGGCTGACATTCCTTTCGCGTGGGTCAGGTCGGACAAGCCCTCTATCATTTTTGAGTGATTCGAACTTATAGCTCTTACATGATTAAACCCACAACTTTCTCCTAAAAACCACACTCCACCGAAACCCTCAACGCCACTATACCCAAAATGCACGAATTAGATGGTTTTTTGGTTTCTTTCATTATTATTATTATTTAAATCTTATATGGAATTGTCGAGGGGTTTGGCGCATAAGGACCCTTGTTCTCAAAACAAAAGGTGAAATGGGCAAAAGAAAATTGTATTCAAGACGGGGCCTTAAGTTTTTGTTTTTATGTTTTAGGAAATTTGCCATAAAGTTGTGTTATTACATGATCATGATGTTAAACAACAGTAGCTTTTTGTACTTACTTACACCTGATGACACAATTAATTACATAACTAATCCATTATTTGATAAGAAAAAAAACCTCATCATGCTCAAAACAAAATGGTTATTATTGTCAATAGTTTGCAACATTCTTCAACAATACTACATTCTTTCCAATTCAACACCTTTTGGCAAAAACTCCTCGCATGGCGACTATTTAATATCTTTTGGTAATTGGTAAAGAAAAGCCGCGCAACCCCTACCAGATCACTAGTATCATTAGTGTTACATATTATATAATATCTAATCCAATATAATAATATGATATGATATAATGTAATATAAAGTAGTAAAGAACAGATCGACGCTTATGAGACAACTTTTTTTAGCTTGTATCAATTGAATACTTGGCGGAAGCATATGAAATCTTTACAGCAATGAAGTAGCTAGGGAATAACAACTAAAAAATTATTACTTTCCTACCCAATTGTACACCATGACCTGGAATTCCCTTTTGTTCTTTTTCTCTCCTCTCTTTTTTGTTTTTTTGAATAAACTTTTTCTCTTCTCTTTTTGACAACTCATAAGCAGAATGCTAATAAGGAAAAAATTGGTGAAAGAAGACAAAATAGATATGAATTTTTATCTTTTATTTTTAGTTAATATTATTTTCAGTTAAATAACAATACTAATCAAAAGATATTAATCAAAAGAATTATGTATTTAAGGGCAAGTTTAACCATTTTCTAAAAAGAAAAGAAAAGAAAAGAAAATTCGTCTCTTATCTAAAGGGCCTAGAGCATCTCTAAGGAGACTATCTAAATTTTAAATAAATTTTTGCTAAAATAACTAAAAAATTATTTAGCTAGTAATTTTTGAGTGATACACTCTAATTATATTTTAATATTGATTTAATATAAAATATAAATAACTTTATTGAGTTTAAAAAAGACTATTTACATTTATTACGGTTGAAATTATAAAACAATATAAACAACTAAATGGATAGCCTCTTCTTGCTAGCTACATAAATTACCTCATTCAGTTCGCTGATTTAAGTTTTCAATTCGAGCTGAGATGTGACTTTATATGAGAGTTTTTAACTATAGTAGAAAAAGTTAGATGTAACTTTTTATGGAAGCTTTTAACCGTAACAAAATTGGATTGAAAACTCGAATCGGTGAAATGAACGAGGCTAGTTAGTGTGAAAGGCATTTTTCAAAATGGCTAACCATTATTTTTGATACAAGATTGAACTCGCAACCCCCTACCTAAATCTCACTCCACCTAAACACCCCAATACCACTAGACTAGGAAGTCTTAGGCAAATGGCTAACTATTTAGATTTTAGCTTAAGGCTGACAATCCGGGTAGCAACACGACTCCACGACTCGAAACCCGCACGAAATTAACGGGTTTGAATTTATCATAAATAAGTACGGGTCAAAATCAGGTCAAACTCGTGAAACACGATTAAATAATGTGTTATTTTCAGGTTGACCAGTCAACTCGTAATTGACCCGCCATAACTCGTTTATTAAACGTGTCATATTTGGGTAACACGAATACACAACCCGTTTATTACCCATTTTATAAACAAGTTCAACAATAGGTCAGAAATAGGTTAACACAACCCATTTATCACTTATTTTATAAACAGGTTCAGAAAGAGGTTAACATTACCAATTTATCACCCATTTTATAAACGGGTTGACAGGTAATCAACGGGTTGACACGACACGTTTATGACCTATTTAATAAACGTGTTATTCGTGTCGTGTCGTGTCAACCCGCCAATATACATGTCGTGTTTAGGTTTTGTATTTTGACATGATTAATAAACGGGTCGTGTTCGTGTCAAACCTATTCGTGTCAACTGAGGGGGTCAACACGAATTGCCACCCCTATTTTAGCTAATGGTTGGAGTGGAGAAAAATAATAATAAAAAAAATTAAATCATTTGTTATTTTAGTTGAAAACATTAAAAAAATAGAGATAAATACCTCTTAGAATGCACGAGTTTTAAATTTTACTCTTAATTAATACCTTTTAAAAAAGAAACTATATTAATCAAGATAATTAATTAAAAATAAAGGATAAACATCTTAACACAATATATTCAAGAAATGAGTTTAATTTTCTCAATATTTTTAAAATAGTTGGAGGAACGCTGACATACTTTTTAAATTCGGCTGATTGACAACAATTTTTAAAAACTGGAAAAGCTGAATTTACTAAACACGATAAGCTGTAACTTCGTTAAAAAAAATTAAAAGCGGTCTCCAAGTCCAAAGCAATGGTAAACGGGCCGTTAGTGGGCCTCACTCTATCTCGCACACGGTTTATTAGAAAATACGTCATCTTTAGACAAATTCGGCAGCTAGTTCTCAAGACTCAAACGCGTTGATCACCGACTAGTATTTTTTTGACTATCCACTCACTAGTCTTTTTATTTTTTTATTTGGCGAATAGCGTTAAGGCGAGCCTTATAAACTGTAAAATCTATTCAACCAATACCAACCCAGATTTCTATACCATTTCAAGTCTCTGCAGCCTTCACCATTAAGTCTGCTTTAACGAGAAAAAGTAGACATACAAAACCAGAACACCAGGGGGGGGAAAAAAAAAAACCTTAAAAATGTACGTCACAAGGCCACTTTCAATGTACAAAAAGTGTCCTTCTGCTCTGTCGGAGCCTCCACCGGAGGGCCCGAGCTCCGGAATTCTCGTGGTCCAAGACGAGGGAGCCGAGCCCAAGTGCTGCTTCGGCTTAGCGAAGAGCGACAGGATCAGGAGCCTCCCGATTCCCCAGAACAAGAACGCCGAGATTTACTACTCTCAGGGCGTGTCTCGAGACAGAGATCTCCATTTCCACAGTGTCTGGTTCGTTCCCGTTCTGGGTCTTCCCTTGTCTTCCAATACATACTATGCAGTCCATCCATTGGGCAAGGATAGAGGGTAATCATCTTCTTCTTCTTGTTTTTTTTTGGCGTAATTATTGCCACATTCTAGTGATTGGTGTGACGAAATCTATTTTTGTACAATTTTAGATAACAATTTGTTGACGGATTGAGAATGGAGAACTTGTTAGATGGGCCTGGATAGTTTTACATGAAAACTTGTTCTACTGGGGAAAAAAACCCGTTTCTGTTTGGGATTAGAAGTCTTAATTTCTACTGTTTGAGAGGATTAGGAACATAAATTGATAGGGCACAAATAGGATTTATAGTGGTTCAAACTACGTTCACTTTTTTGCTAAGGATTTTCACTTTGTTTTTCTGTGTAGAAAATGACTGGACTAATGTTGTATTAGGTCGACGCGGAGCAAAAATTATAGTATAATTAGGCTCCACACAACTCAACAGTTACAATCGCTGACATTAGTCATATTTCTAAAGTAGGAGGCGTTTAAGAGTTAAGTTCATTTTTTAATATTTGTTCACAATCACGGTTTTTGTTATTTAGTAAATACAATTTAAGGTCCTCATCATGATGACTTAAGATTTTGAGAGAATTGGTAAACTAATACCGGTTGAAGTTTCGATGGTTTTGGAGTTAAATCTCTATGATTACGCTGTTTAATTTGTCAGGTTTTAGCTTTTGTTTGAATTTCCTTTGCTTTGGCTTTTGAAACAAACGGTGAACTCGCATTTGTCTGCTATTGCAGAGAAGCATTTGCATGCTCCACAGAGGAGGAATTGGAAACCTGCTGCTTTTACACTTATGCTCCAGAAACACAACCCCAATCTTTTGATCCCCGCAACATATACCAACAAATGGAGATCTCTCTTCATGGAAGGCAAATCTCCCCGTGGGGTAGCGATTTCGAGGCCAAATCCATTGCCCCGGACGGGTTTGCTCCGGGATTCTTGGGAAGGAGAGAAGGATGGAAACTCCTTATTCGTTCAGATCAGGGCCCCGAGTTCGACCTTGGAGATGCGCAAGGCCTAAGTGCAGGACTCAGAACTCGCCTTCCGGACTTCAACTTTGCACTATCATGTGAGAAATCCATGCCCGTGGTAGTGGGGAAATGGTATACCCCTTTCATGTTTGTCAAAGAAGGAACACCAAAAACACTTAAAGATCAGATGAGGATGTCAATGTTCTATGAAATCACTCTAGAGCAGAACTGGGAACAAATATTTGCGTGTGATAACAACACCACCAGTGGAGGGAATTCTGTGGCTGTGGATGCTGTTATGAAGAGTGAAGTGGTTGTGGTTGGAGGGTTAGAAGCTGTGGTTGATGAGAGAGATTTGGGTGATGGAGTGTTGTGGTTTAGGAGTGTCAATAATGTGGGATCGGAGACAAGTATCGGGTTGAGCTTAGCTTTGGTTGAGAGGATGAAGTGGGAGCAGGAAAGAGTTGGATATGTTGTTGGGAAAGAAAAGGAAGTGGAGAAGAGAGAAGAATATAAGGGAGGGTTGGGTGATTGGAAGAGATTTGGGTGTTATGTTTTGGTTGAGAGGTTTGTTTTCAAGAGAATGGATGGGAGCTTGGCTCTAACACACAAGTTCAGGCACACTCATCAGATAAGGACCAAATGGGAATGAGATGTTGTTTGCTTCTTTTACTGTACACCAAAGACATGGATTCATTTTTTGGGGTGAGTATTTGTACACATCTTTTGTATTTAAACATTTTATTTTTTATTTTTATTTCGAGAAAAGTATGTGTAATGTAGTCTATATCTGGTTGTAATAAGAATTTGTTCATTATTTTTTCCTAGATGATGAAAATTTTTTGTAATGCTGTACTTGAGAATTATTAATATCAGAGATTCAGAAGATGGCTTGATTGGTTTGGCTCTGCATTTTGCGTTTTGCTCTTTGATGTATTATGGCTTTTCAGGCAGAGCAATTTTATAGTAAAAACTAGAGAACTTGGGAGTATTTACCGTCGTTTGAATCTTATTAAGGGGCATCTTTTGAATCTTTTTGTTCCGTTGGTAACATAGGTGTGAGAGTAAATTTATTGATTGATTATTAAAAGAAAAGATCAATGTTCTTCTCAGAACTATGGACATGTTATTTTTGTAAGTTAAGTTGAGAACTTGACATGTAAAGTGAATTTATGTAAGAGAAAATACTGTAAAAAAAAGTTGAATTTGAATTTTTATTAGAAAAAATAATGTAGTAAAAAAGTTTGAGTTGTAAAAAGAACAGGCCGTATATTTGTGAAGTTGTTTTTGTTTCGAGAAATCTATTAGAATGACTATCCAATAAAATGAAATTGACAAAATGACCTTTATTTTTTATAAAAAATGACCACTCGATCGTTCTTTATAAAAAGTAATCGTTTCTGTTTGCAAATAAAAATTTTTAAAAAATTATTTTACTTATAAAACTTTCCAATTCAATTATTTTACAAAGGCCTCCTTTGTCTCTAAAGATTCTTCCACGTTTTTAATAACACTCGAAAGATTGACACATAATCATTCATTGAACGCGAGAGTAAAACAACTTTAGTGGATATTTGGTGAGCATTAGGTATAGGAGTCGTAGGTAAGATAGCTAAATCTTCTCTTTAGGTGAAGAACCAAGAGGGATCGAGCTTCGACAAGTCAATAGATTATAGTTAGCGATAACACCGACTCCAATATTTTTCAACGAGATGAAAAAAGAAAAATAATAAGCGTAAGTTGGAATTCGACAACATTTTAAAACGACATCAAGAAATAAAACTACAATGACGCTAATAACTGTCAATAACAAGGAACGACAATATTCCCTAAAAAAAAAAAGGAACGACAATAACCTCATCAAGATTTTGGAAAAAGACAACGACACAAAGAATACAAAGATTCTTCAAAGGGAATCAAGGAGAACGACGATAAACTAAAAAACGAGATTGACGTGAAAAAGAACACACTTTTTTTTTTTGGCTAAATAAAAAATAAATAAACGACAAAGCTGGAAAACAGGAACATAAGAACGACATTGACGTTTAATGTTAGCAGGAAAACAATAATTAATTAAACGACAAAGCTGGAAAAGACAGGAACATGAGAACGACGTGATTTCAGAAAACGACAAAGTAATAACCATTGAAGCAATTTCAACACAAAAAACGTCCTCAACTAAAAAACAACAAGCGACACATCACACAAAGAAACAGAGCATAATACAAAGACACACACACACACACACAAGGGACACACCAAACATTTGATGAAACCCGATGGAGCTGTATATACGCATGTTTAATTTCGGCTATTGTCGTTGTATGACAAGGCAAAACTAATTATATGCTATCACTCATTTGATGAATAACTCAGATTTAATCATATAAATAGAGTATTAGAAATTTATTTGATCAGATTTATTTCGTATCAATCTATTGGAAATTTCTCACGTAGCCACCCTTTTTAGCACTACCTGTAGGCCAAGTAAAAAAAAAGAGTTTAATTACTGTTTTATTGGATATCAAACTGCAGGTACATAATCTACCGGAGCACTTGCGGGCATTATAGTAGAATTAAGAGCAATGTTAGTTGTTCTACCCGAGATTTATTTCGTATTAGTTATCCACTCGTACGTTCCACAATCCACGTGTAGTATATTAATAGAGACGGATAATAATGGTTCTAAGATATAAATAAAAAAATATTTTAAATAATGTTATAAGACACTGATAGTACTCATATAAAAAATTAATGTATGAGATCTATCAATAGATTCACTTTTTATTATTAATAGTGTTTAATACTGATAGTGCCTCTAAGTATTTTTTTTTTAAATTCTAATAAAAACCTTGTTTCTGCTCCACTCCGTCGTCCATTATCTCTCTTTTGATAAGCTTTACTTTTCTGACACCAAACAATCACCTGCTGCCTCTCTTTTCTTTCTTCTTCAACAAAAGATCGATTAAAACAAAAAGGAGCACAATTAAAAGTCATCGCCCAAGAAAAGAAAAAAATACAATGACAAATTGTTAGGATTCAGGAACCCATGGTCGAAGTCACATGAATATCAATGTTAGCAAAGTCTTTGGACTTCAAGGACATGTATCAACAAGTGGAGATTTCTCTTCACGCGAGGAAAATCGAGCCTTGGGTAGTGAGTTAGGCCAAATACCGTAACCCCTGATGGATTTGCTCTGGGATTCTTGGGGATAACAAAGTGATGAAAATGTTAGTTTTGAAAACGATTTTTTATGCGAAAGTGTATATCTAACAGATTGTGTATAATAAAAATTTTAACAAATTTTTGAGATACTTTAAAGAATAAATAAATAAATTTATTTATTTACATAGCGAATGATTATGTCGATAACTTGAGTTTTTTGACTATGAATATTTCTCGCTCTAAGCTTGTTTAGAATACCCAAATCCTCCTTATTAATTCTTTGAATCTACGAAGACATGTGTGTGAACACACTTGAAATAAAACGATATTAACAAATAAACACTCAAGTATTTCACGAACACCAATACATACATGATGTGAATTTGAGAGAAAATTTTTCTTTTCCTCACTCTATAAAATTCAGCCACACTATGCTAGGGAGAGTAAAAATTGTGTTTTTCAATTTTCTGCAATCTTCTATTTATAGAGAAGTAGTGAGACTCCCAAAAGAAGTCTCATCTTTATCTGCAAGATAAAGCTTAATAATTATCTCATACTTCTAATTGATTTTAGAAATAAAATTCCCTCTCTCTCTCTTATCCATTGGGGCCGGCCACCACAGGGATATTCTCCCCCTGTGGTTGGCGCAAATAGCAGATATGGAAGGAGAAAAAATATCTTTTATCCTGCAGTCTAATTTTGACTCAAATTTAAATTCCAATTGAAATCAAACTTAATTTAATTTTAATTGCAATTGGACAACTTATCAAATAAGTCAATTGAATAACTTAGAGAGTAAGCAACTGAATCCCAGAACTGTGTTGAGCATGTACACCATGTGGACTCCTCCACATGTGTGTTCTAAAATTCAAATTTAAATAATCACATTATTTAATTTACAATTAATTCTCAATTAATTATTCTTGAGTGTTCTATTTAGAATTTCATAATTCTAAAATTGTCATTTTGCCCTTAATGTCTTGTAGGATTACAAGGACGACACGAAGACTCGTGGACCTATAATTCTGAGCTCTAATAAAATTAATAATTAGTTAAAACTCTTTAATTAATTCTAAAAGTTACTCCACTATAATTTACTTTTAAACTGTGAAGTGTCCATTTGATATAATCATTACATATACATCAATCATCCACAAATAATTCATAATTAGAGTTAGGTGAAATCCGTTGACCTCTCTAATTACATCTTTATCATTGAGTATCATTGATTCCCTAATGGACAGTGATTCATCAAACACAGCTTCTACTAGTCTAAGTACCGAATCAATCTTCAAGAGAATTATTTATCTACTTCTTTCTCAAGAAGGAATGGATTCCATCTTGTATAATAACATCTCGGCTACTCACTTCATCATGTCTCCAAAATACAAGAAATATGTTTCAACATCTCAGAATCCGTACCGAGTAACTTAAAAGACACAAATCCATAAATAAGAATCTGCTAATAACTCAGGATTAAGATAGTTTTATATATGACCATCGGTATACTCAATTAGATTTTTATACTTAACAAAAATTATAAGAAATTCACATTGTATCTGTGTCCCAGTTCCACACAATCTCATCATGTGTAATACACTCATTCCATATTTTGTCATATTAACCTTGTGGATAATACCATTCTATTCTAAATGGAAATGACATGTATTAATAATGTTTTAATTAAAGATTCTGAACTTTAATTAAATTTATTACGAATATTGTTTTGATTATTATCCTTAAATATTATCATGTCGCATATGACACTTATATACAATATTTAAGGTCACATAAATAATCAAGGATTTTTCAATGATATTCATAAAATATTCAATAATATATGCACATAAAATAATGAATAAACTCTTTTATTAAATAAATGATAAAAATCATATTGCATCTCATGCTTTTAAGACACCATTCTCAATAGAAAACTCCCATGTTCCAATGGCCCCGAGTTCGAGCTTGGCAATGCACAAGACCTAGACACAAAATTGTGAAGCCATCTTCTTGATATTTGCTTGTATGAGAAATGGGTAATTTTTAAAAATACCCCTTTAAATGGGGTTCCTTTTTATTTATATTCTTAACATTAGCCCATATATTTTTATTTTTTAACTAGAACTAGTCAATGAGTAAAGTATTTTAAAAGAGATAATTTTAGTAAGTTAGGTATTTAAAGAAGTAGAATCTGTAATTTTCTCGTGAGAAATCCAAGGTTGTGGTTGAGGGGAAATGGTATTGCCTCTTCATGTTTGTCATGGAAGGAACTCCCAAAACAATGAAAGATGAGAAGAGGAGGTCAGTGTTTTATGAGATGACACTAGAGCAAAACTAGGAACAAGTATTTGCATGTGACAATGTTGAAAAGTGTGAAAATGGTTTCGTGGATGTTGATGTTGTTTTGAGGAGTGAAGTGGTTGTGGTTGGAGGGGTTTAAGGTTTGGTTGATGAGAGAGATTTGGGTGATGGGTTTTTGTGGTTTAAGAGTTTTGGTAATTTGAAGAGAATGGATGGGTGCTTGGTCCTTACACATGATTTCTGGCACACTCATCAGATTAGGACCAAATGGGATGACGAGGTATTACTTCTTTTATGGTACAACACAAATTTTTATTTTTATTTTTCCCTCTGAAATATGGGATTCATCCTTGCGTAGATAAATCTCCACTATTTATATAAAGTGAGTCTCACTAGATAAATTCACGTGAGACTCACCTCATACGAACGACAGGAATTTATCACAATAGGCGTGTCTAGGAGTGCTCTTTTCTTCTATTCATGTATCTCTCTCTTTTGTTTTGTTTTGTTTTTTGTTTTTGTCATCATCGTCATCATTGTTGTTGTGTCCGTATTTGCTCCAGAGTAAAGTTTTTGTATAATGTAAGTCTGCAAGCAAGTTGTGCACTCCTTTGTATATATCTTGTTGTAAAAAGAATTTGTTCAATCTTTTCCCTATTTGCTGAAAATTTTGTTACTGCGTTGGATTGATTATTACAAATTCAAAAGATAGCTTGCTGTGTTTGCTATGATTTTTTTTTTTTTTACTTTTTTGCCCTTTGCTGTATTATGCCTTCCAGTTCCAGGCAGAGCAATTTTGTAGTAAGAGATCATGACAAATTACCGTCTCCCTATAAATTGCCCTGTTTCGTTGCTTAAAATTCCAAGCATAAGATTTTGTTAGCTCCAACAACTTTATAATTTCTTTCTGTAACCAATGAAAACCTTGAAGTGTTCAACAAGAGAAAAGTAAAAATAAAAACCTTCCCAAGTTTAAAAATTAGACTCGCTCTTAACATTTTTTGTTCTTTTTGACAAATCAAGAATTCTTCACACGGTTGGAAACGTCAAACCCTTACCTTCACAAAACAAGAAGGATTACGGGTCAAAAAGAAGATCTTTTACATCTCATTCTCAACTTCTTATTAAGTTATTATAAACACGTGGCATAAATATACATGTTTCAAATAGTCAAATTTGTACTTATCTTTCCCTCTAAGTTCCACCACATTGCTAATCATAATAAGAGATTCAAAAGTTTTGACAAATTATCATTGAAGAATTCTGTAGCTTTGACCAAGTTGCCTTAGTTAATTCAGCATCCTTTTTTTTTTTCCTCTTATAAATACTCCTAACAACGTAAACTTTACTATCCTCAACTCACAATAACAAAGTTAAGGAAACAACAACAAAGAAGAAAAAGAAGAACAAGCAAAATTATTTGGAGATATTATCGAAACAATAAAGTATTATAAGAGAGAAAAATGTACGTGACACGGCCTCTTTCAATGTACAAGAAGTATCCCTCGGCTCTCTCCTTGCCTCCACCTGAGGGTCCGAATACCGGAATATTGGTGATTCAGGACGAAGCAGCCGAGCCAAGACATTTTTTCGGATTGTTTAAGGGTCACGAACTAAAACACTTGCCTTTTCCCCAGAACAAGGACTTGAAGCTTCGTTACTCCTATTCGACCGGCACCGGACAAAACAGCACTCAACACGTTTCGCATTTCTATGCCGCCTTCATCCCCGTTCTTAACCAGCCACTGTCTTCGAATCGGTACTATTTGATACAGCCACACGGCAGCCATAAAGGGTATGCATATTTTTAGTCTAAAGTGCTGAGTTTAGTTATTACTTCATGTTAGTAATTTATAGTTTTTGACCATCAAATATTCCTCTGTTCTGTGACCAATCTAGGAAATTTTTGGCTTGAGGAAGATTACTTAGATACATGCATTAGTGAATCTGACTAATCATATACTAAAATTTTTCCCATTTGCCTTATAGAGAAGCATACACAAATTCAACGCTAGATGACATGGAAACATGCTGCTTCTGCAAATTTGTCCGCGAGGTAGAGCCACAACCTTTGCATCCCCAGAACATATACCAACAATTCGAAATCCGCCGTGAAGGAAGATTCAATCAAATCGGCGGTTTCGTTGCCAAATCACTAGCTGCAGACGGGTTCCCACCAAAATTCCTTGCAAGGAAAGGGTGGGAAGCATACACTTCAACTCCAAAAGATTTCCATTTGGACGAAGCGTCGGGCCTAGACACAACTCTCCGGTCCCGCCTTCCTGAATTCAACTTCCCATTAGCCTCCACAAACTCTAGTAGCCCTGTGGTTGTGGGAAAATGGTACTGTCCCTTCATGTTCATCAAAGAGGGCACACCAAAGGAGCAAATGAGCAAATCAATGTACTACAAAATGACTCTTGAGCAGAGATGGGAAAAAATTTACTTATGTGAAAGAGATTCTAGTGAAGCAAATGGTTCCATAATTGATGTTGATGTTGAGGTTGAAAGAGAAGTAGTAATGGTTGGTGGGAAGGAAGTGGGACATGTTGAGAGAGATGAGGCTAATGAGGTGGTTTGGTATAGGAGTTTTGGCAATTGTGTGGGCTTGAGTTTGGCAATTGTGGGGAAAATGGAATGGGAAGAGAAAAATGTTGGGTGGGTTAGAGGGAATGATAGGAAAGTGAGAGTGAAGAAAGTGGAGGAGATTGATGGAGAGATGAGTAATGAATGGAGAAGATTTGGTTGCTTTGTGTTGGTTGAGAGGTTTGTACTTAGAAGATTGGATGGAAGCTTGGTTTTGACTTATGAATTTAGGCATACTCACCAGATTAGAAGCAAATGGGAATGAGAAATTTGTTGCTCTTTTATGCTGTTTTGATCAAAGGCTGGTATATTCACTTGTGTCATGTGTGCCTATATTTGACTATATAGCCGAGAAAATTACTGAATTTATCCTTAGAAGTGAATAAGTCTAAATTTTTATTTTTTACTCTTTATTAATATCATTTTAACTAGTATAGTATTTGATTAAAAAAGTATTAAGGTAAAAATTAAGACCCATACAATATAAAAGGATATTTTCTCATTTTCCCTTGACTAGCAAGACTTGGTTCTTTTTTAGGCATCATTTTGTTGTCAAATTCTTAGTTGCACAGGATATGAATGGCCTGCCTTATGGAATGACCAAATGAACATCCTCTTCTAAATAGAATCCTATTACTAATTAAATGTGTGAATGAATCTGAGAAAAAGATGTACAAATATGCTGGATCTTCTTCGTTTTTAGAACTTTTTTGTTTGTATTGTTTACTCTAATTTCTGGTTTTCTGTAATTTTGAAACTTTCTTATAGAACTTCCAGTGAATACATATTTGCTTCATTCAACCATTGATTTGGTTAATTGTTTTCTGTCTCTCTCTCCCTCTCAATATGGTTGTGTAATAACTGAACAGTTTCCATCTTTCTTACAAATTCGTGAATAAAAGTAGAGTTTGGACAAATTCGCTTATTCAGTTTAGCAATTTGTATTAGTCGTTCCAATTTCTTAATGAAAATGCTTTTTTATTTTTCAAAATTCTTTTGCTTCCGTTTTTAAGATTGCAAGGAACTCTTATTGATAACGTCCAAACCTTAGAAAAGTCAAATATTGAATTGATTTTCTTTATATGTTTATTGAATACTCCAAATTTTCGTATTGATCATCGTTCGTCAAAATTTAAAAAAAAAAATAAAAACAAAAGGTCAAAGATGTAGGGAACTTTTTTCTTTTCCTGGGACAAAGGAGTAGGGAACTTTCAATAAATATGGGATATATACGATTTAAACTTCATAAAAAAAAAAGTAACTCTTATTTTGGATGTTCTTGAAATTAAATCTTCGCATTTTTTTGAAAGGGAAGTTGCATTTAATTAAAAATTGATTATAAAAGTCATCTCGATAAAGTGCTAATGACCCATTAGAAGGATGAGCGCATGCCTGAGGCTTAAAAATGGGAGAACACATCGGTACACTAACAACGAGCGCACATAAAGCTCGAATTAAAGAAACCCCTCCCATCGAGATAGGCTTTCGAGCACTGGAGGGACAAATGGCCAGACTCCACAAAGAGGGGACATCTACATGGCATAGAAAAAGTGCTAGCCGGACCAAGACAATCCTATCAGGAGACATACAAACGACCTTAAGCCGATCACCAAAAACTAACAACAAATAGCAAAAGAAATGAGGATCGGGTGGGAAGAACATCGCCCTTATTACAAACACAAAAATTACATAAAAAAATAGAATAAACCTCCGACCACAACCGTTAGAAGCCTCCGGTAAAGGGCAACCGGCCAATGGGCCATTGAGGTGTTAGAGAGATTGTAATATATCTCTCAATTTCGATATCACAAAGTTGGCCTAAAACACATTCGGGAAGAACAGGTGCGCACAAGCGCGCGCTGCAGCGTACGGACGCGCTGCAGTGCGCCTCTTGGGTGCTGCAGCCTGCGTAAAATAGACCTCTCGGGTCTGTTTTGCGAAGCCTGAGCGCTGTAGTGCACGGCAACGTGCGCTGCAGCACGCACAAAACAGACCTCTCGGGTATGTTTTGCGTAGCTCGAGCCCTGCAGCGTGAATGTCTTCCGTTGCAGCGTAAATTACTAACGGAAAACGTGTTTTCGTGTGTTTTAGTGATTTAAAAAGGTCTTGAACCATTGCATCCATTTGTGATATGTTTTCTCACATATCTGAGCACTTATTAACAATAGAAATAACTATTGATATAAGTGCATCAACATATAAAAGATAACCTTTAAAATTGAAAAGGTATCTTTATGTGAAAGGTTGTAACACTTAAAGAGGATGGATGCATCCCTGTCTTTAATTAATGGACTTCAGAAAATACATATTTATTATTGTTCTGGAACTCAATATTTTTTGCTGGATATTGTGTTCAAGGGTTTGTTGTATATATCTTAGGGGTAATTTGCCATTAAAAACTCATTAGCAAACTTTGAGAAGTGAGGGTAAATAAAACCTTAAAGGAAAGTATTCCTATACGCCTCAAACCCTCTTTCTGCTTTCTCTATTCTTTTCTTCCTCCCAAATCCGAATTTCTCAACATGAGGGAGATAGCTGGCCAAGAGATCTCAGCTACCAAACAACAAACTCGCCTGTAAATGAAGCCCATCAATTCGGCTTCTAAGCTCCAAACCAATTTAGATACACCTAAATGGAGCCACCATACCGTACAACGCCACTAACAACGAGGAACTCACAACTAGGAAAGCCAGAGGACCAAGTTTCATGGCCAGGAGCCCGACGGCGTGTCCGGAGGCAGCCCCAAAACTCCAGTCGTCGTTCACTCTTTTTTTCTTTGATTCGTGTGGGGAGAGAGAGAGAGTAGAAAACTCTAAAACGTGGTACAATCTTTGCATTTTTCAAATTCATATAAAATTCGTACTTTTCTAAGTCAACAGTTGATTTTACGCGGACTTAGAAATAAACTTGTAATGTAATACGCTAATTGACAAATTATCCTATGCAACCTAACTTGAAAATTGTTATTTTATGATTTTTTTTTCCTTTGTTTTCTCATTGATTAGGCCTCATCCATTTTTAATTGGACAAATTACACTTTTCCCCTCTGAACTATTAGCCTTGTAACAAAATACCCCCTAAATTTAAAAAATAACAAATTTTTCTCATGATTAATTCGCCATTAGCACGTGTCCCCATTTTCCGCCCTCTCGGTTAAATTTTGAACATTAAGTGACATATGTAAGTCGCTGAGGCATTTAATTTTTATTCTATTATGAAATGACGATTTTTTTCATCCAAGCCTAGCTGTTGACCGGTCAAACCCACCATTGACCGGCATTGACCGAGGTGAGGGGTCAGCGGGATGTGTGTCAAATCGAAGATCTCGAAGTGAAGAACACTTATCCGGGGTGGATTTCTCCAAATGACATCCGGTTCGCCGGAAAATGCCCCAAACTCAAAATAGACATAGGCAGTACATTGGAGCTCCTTTGACACCGATCGGGTAAGTAATCATGTGGCTTTTGCTCCACTCAGCGAGGAAAATATAATAGTACAACGTGCCGGTTAAACAGAGGTCAGATGGCGTTGGAATTCGGTGTGGAGACAAAATGGACCAAAACTTTAACCGACGCTTGCAGGTGATCGGCATCGAGATTCCATGTAACGATCCCTCACGAGCTGTCACAGTTATCTTAACTTTCAAACATTTACCTTTAAAAAAAATGCGGAAAATAGTTAAGCTTGAAACACTTTACTTTGAATGACTTGAAGAAATCCTAAATTTTTTTTATATTATAACTTTAAAAATTTTAAACCTCATCAAAGGAAAATAATCTTTAGGTTCAACTCATTTATTAAAATCCATACTGTAAAATAAACTTAAAAAAAGATCTTAAGTATTCTTCAAATTAAAACCACCATAAACCAAAGCACCAAAACAATAAAAAAAAAAAATTAACAACTTTGTTTAACATTAAGCACTTTCATTCAATGATCGTTTCTCTCGTTTTCCTATCACGCACCGCTCGCATCTGCTCCAACATTTTCCGTGGCTACATCTTACCCTTTAGATGGTCTGCACCATGAAATAACTTATATAAGAAATGTTGGAAAATTAATGGCATCGAGTGCGCAGCGGAATTTAAAAATTTTAATCAACGTCAAAGCCAAACAAGAACATGTTCATGATGCTATATAACATAAATACTAAAGATCTAAAACATACCTTTTGAGATTTCAGGAAACTGCACGTCTGACAGATCTAAGCGTTCCAAACAGCAACCGGAAGAGCCTCAACCAACTGGTCTTCTTTGCTATTCTCGTTTCCACAATCGGTGTGCGGGTGGGCATACGTCGTTTAATCTCCTCTAGGTATTCTTGATCTCCTTCCAATCATAAGAGAGCCAAAGAAAAAATTGTTCTTGAGAATTAAACAATTTTTCCTCTCAGGAATCTTTTATCAATAGCCTCCAAAAAGTCTCTCAAGTGATCTAATGAGTAATGTGACTTAATAGGCTATTTATAGTGTTTTGGAAGTCATACTTTCGTAACAATTAGGTTTCCCAAAGTTCTAATCGCATCCAGAGTCGATTTTACCATGTCATCATGCATTTTACGTTACAACCGGTCGACCGGTGACAGAGACGTTATAACTCACCGGTCAACCTGTCTTCACTAACCGGTCGACCTGTGACCGGTCTACCCAACCGGTCGACCTGTCTGCACTGACGAAAGTTGTTTTTCCTAGTTTTTCAATACGGGAAACTTGCATAGAGCCTCAGTTTTGATTCAAACAACCCAATAGAGAAATTGCATGATCAAAACAGTCATATAATAGTCTTCCTATATTAAACAACTCTTAAAACAATAATTCAACCAATTTATCTAGAATTAATTTATCAATTAATTCACTCGATAAATCACCCATGAATTAACTTTGAACATCTTTTACGGAAATA